GTCCGGGCTGGGGATTCGAACCGGCCACCTTAGGTGTACGTGGCTGGTGCCTTAGCCGGTTGAGCCACAGGCGCCGAGCCTCCAATTATTTTTTTTTAGACAAAGTCTCACTATGTCACCCTCGGTAGACTGCTATGGCATCACAGCTCACAGCAACCTCAAACTCTACGGCTTAAGCGATTCTCTTGTCTCAGCCTTCCAAGTAGCTGGGACTACAGGTGCCCATGACAACGCCCAACTATTTTTTGGTTGTAGATGTCACTGTTGTTTGGCAGGCTGGGTTCGAACCTGCCAGCCTCAGTGTATGTGGCCAGCGCTCTGACCACTGAGTTATGGGTGCCGAGCCCCCTTTCCACTTTTTCACTTACTTTGGTATTGAAGCTAATGATTGATGCTAGCACAACTGTAATACTCTGCAAATCTTAGAAATCAATGGCGTTTAAGTGCTAGCTAGAGCTGAAATTTTCAGCCTTGCCCCTCTACTATTCCGGCAGCCCCTGAGCTTTGAGCAGCTTTCCAAAGCAACCACCAACTTATTTTCCAAAGCTATTACCAACAATCAAATATTTTTTTGTGTTTCAAAAATGATCCAATATTAATCAGAATTTGGTGGGTAACTGAACATAAGTACTGAACAGAATTTTTATTTGTATCGATCTGAAAAGTTTATCATTGAACCCTATCTTTCTAACAATTGATTTTAATCCAATCAAGGCATTATTAGGTATCCCTGAATGACAAGGATAAAAAAAATCATAATTGAGAGAAAACTAAACACAAATAATTTTCTAATATTTCGTAAAAAATTTGACTAGTATTGAATAAAGCCCGTCTGGCCATTAATAATATTAGCTTAGAAAAAATCATTTATTTACTTTTTATTTATTTATTTTTTTAAATTAGAGACAGAGTGTCACTCGGTTGCTCAGGTTGGTATTGAACTCCTAACCTCATGCAATCTCCCACCTCAGTCTCCCAAAGTGCTGGGATTATAGGCATGAGCCACTGCACTGGACCTAGAAAAGTCATTTAATATAAAAGTATAAATTCAACTTTTAAAAATTCAAAGTATAAATTATACTTAACAATAAAATCAAAGAATTCAATCTAAGCACTCAATTTTTATTCTTACAATACTAATTAGGCCAAGCACTATGGCTCATGCCCCTAATTATAGCACTCTAGGAGGCTGAGGCAGGAGGATTGCTTGCCCAAACCAGCCTAAACACGGCTAAGACCCCACCCATCTCTACAAAAAGTAGGAAAACTAGCTGGGCCTGATGATACATGCCTCTGTTCTCACCTACTCTGAAGGCTGAGCCCAGGAGTTTGGAGTTGCATCAAGCCATTAAGATGCTAGTCAGGGTGAGACTCTGTCTCCAAAAAGAAAAAAAAAAATCACTCTAATATTGGAGGGATGCCAGTATACACATTATGTGGTTTCTATTTTGTTTGGTTTTTCATTTTGTTTATGCCCTTTTATTTACTTTCTTTAAATTTTTTTATTATTTCAGTAGGATTAGTGTTTTGTTTTCATTATAATTATATTATACCTGTTTAGAAATTAATTTTTCTTGGATTTTTTTTCATGTTCTGAAACAAAGACATTACTTAACTGCAGATCTTCTACCTCAACATCTGACAAAAGACACAAGTCTCATTAGAAACAAGAGTACTTTTTAAAAATTCCCATGGCAACATTTTATTAAGAGAAACCTAATGAGTGTGGTTTACCCGCATTGCTTCCCCACGAATTCCAGCATGCACAGACAGTGAACACTGCCGTGTGGTTCGAATGCTTTCCATGACCACACACAAAACTGCCTTTCGGCTACTCCTTGACTGACGGATCAAGCTGTGGTCAAAGTTAATTTTTCTAAAACAAAGAAGGTACATGCACGAGACTTTAACAACTAATTACATATAATCAAGTACATTTTTTGCTTTCATATGTTATTCATTTGGAATTCACCTTAACTAAAAGTAAATGAAGACAGGCCTAAGCAAATCAGAAAATACACCAAAAGGAAATTCAATAATCTCTCCTTTCTTAAAACATGACTATACAGAATGTTTGACTCTCTTGGTATATTTATTGTAGAGAAATTCCTATATTATTTTAATCTAATAATTTAGATTATTATGTGGAGAGCCAAGGTGATTTTGTGCAATAATCAAAAATTTTGTTTAAACCAAATGATTTTTGGATATCTACACTTATCCAAAGTTTGGCTATAATACTAATTTAAATATTTCAAACATATCAAGCAATTTACACTAGTAAAATACAGTCTCAATGTTTTAAGCATTCTTTTTTTTTTTTGAGACAGAGCCTCAAGCTGTCCCCCTTGGTAGAGTGCCGTGGCATTACAGCTCACAGCAACCTCCAACTCCTGGGCTCAAGCGAGTCTCCTGCCTCCGCCTCCCAAGTAGCTGGGACCACAGGCGCCCGCCACAACGCCCGGCTATTTTTTGGTTGCAGCCGTCATTGTTGTTTGGCGGGTCCGGGCTGGGGATTCGAACCCACCACCTTAGGTGTACGTGGCTGGCGCCTTAGCCAGTTGAGCTATAGGCGCTGAGCCTGTTTTAAGCATTCTTTGGAATGAAGTTCATGTAGTTTAAAATATTAATGGAAACACTGAAGTATATAAGCATTATTACACTGACCGTGTCGTGATTTCTTTGAGTAATGTTGATACTTCCACTTCATGTTTGGTTACTACGCCAAATGATGCTTTTACTGCAATGGAATCTGAGCCAGCAACGTTAATCCCAACATCATTTACAATATGGTTGCCTCGCCTTCCATACAGTGAAACATCTGATTCATCTTCATAATTCAGTAATTGATAAGATGAAATACCTTTACAAGAAGGAACTTAGTGTTTTATAAATGTCTTGAATTTGCCTTACGTAGATTATACATGGTAACACGTTACTTTACAATTGAAGACTCAATTACCCAAATGTTAGAAAAAGGCAGCATATCAAACCATTATTAAAAATAGCAATTCAATTAATCATACAGCAAAAGAAACAAATAAGGGCCAAGTGCTTACAGGTGGCTCACGCCTGTAATCCTAGGACTCTGGGAGGAATAGGGGGGAATAGCTTGAGCTCAGGAGTTGGAGACTAGCCCGAGCAAGAGCCAGAATAAAAAATAAATTAAAATAGCCTGGTGAGGAAGTGGGCACCTGTAGTCCCAGCTACTTGGGAGGCTGAGATAAGAGGATTCCTTAAGTCCAAGAGTTGGAGGTGGCTGTGAGCTATGACGCCACAGACTCTGTATCAAAGAAAAAAGAAAAGAAAAGAAACAAATGGCCAGGATTCTTAAAATGAACTCAAATTTTCTGTTCAGCCAACAAAACTTCATAAGCATCAAGATCCATTATGTGGTTGAAAGAAAAACAAGTGTTTATAAGCAATAACTTGTCAAAATATCAATGTATTTCATGACCTAGACTTCAAATACATTTGTTCACCAATTATAACTGAATCATAAAAAACAAACTATTTTCATCTTATTTGAGAATTTGAGGTAGAGTAAGCCACCCAAATAATATCCCATTTTATAAATAAATATATATTATGCCATATTCTAAGTTGACTTGGTTACAAAGAATATATAAAATAACTGACAGATTTCCAAATTCTTTAACCAATAGCAGATTTCATACTATACAAACTTTAGAACATTGTTAATCTTATTATGACTATGATCATAATAAAAGTTGCTTTTAGTGACAATGGGTGAATATTACTAATGCAAATACTACATATGACTTATGTTTAGACTACCAATAATACAGTTGAATGAGTAGTCACTGTCAAACATTTAACTTACCAGCTGAAATTTCTCTGTCTCCTAGTAGAATATCTTTCAGTGTAAAAGGTGTCGAGGTAAATTTATACCTAGGAAACAGAAAGCATCGCTTCTTTTTTACCACCAGACTTAAAGGTTGATATTTGTCAGCTTCACTGAGGCTTGGAACAGGAACTAATCTCCCTCCATCTCCAACTTGCTTGACAAAGCTCTTAGTAGCAGCAGCAAACATATTAATAACAAAACGTCATCAACTGTAACCCCCAGATAAATCCATTTTCAAAGAAGAAAATCTGGCACAAAATTAAGCATTGCTTGATTTTAAATATAACTAAACACCTTAAAAATACAAAGCATGCTTTCCCCAAGTAGTTTACCAGTGCACAACTCACTGTCTCCCCTCGTGTGCTCAGGTAATGAATTATAGATCAACGGTGTAAAATGATATACTAAAAGCAAGTCTAATTTGGAATGGCAGGCTATAACACTAAAATATACACAGAAAACTAATAATTTTAAAATATGATCAATGTCCTTGATGATGATCCCTGTTGATAGTGATTTGCCACCGGGCACTCGGCTAATTTTAAGATAAGCATTTAGTCCTAGGGGAAACAATTAAGTGCAATTAAGGCACTAACATCAGTCCTTGCTATCAACTATGGTGGCCCTAGTCCAAAGGGAATTCCTTCCCAAGTCCACCAGTGGAATTCTGGCGATGGAAAACTGCAGTTTTGAATCCTCACGGTAATGGAGTTCATTGAGCATTTCATTCATTTTCCATCTTGTATGTTTACAAAACCAAGTGTCAAATGCAAATTCACAGACTATAGGTAAACAATTGTATACAGAACTTTGTAAAATAGTAAACTGAAGTCCTACTACATATGAATAATCACAAACTATTACCTAGTGATTTCTTACTCTGAAGCTGGGAACACGTAACATACTACATCTCTTTGAAATGGAGTCCTGCTGCATTTTTTTTTCATCATTGTCCCAATCACTCAACCTTTAACAACCTGGGCTTGTTTTTAAGTACTTTTGTGGCTAAAAATATTGTTTTGTTGTAAGTATAATATGTGGACGTTAATATGTTTTGAAATAGCGACTTCCAATAACAAAGCCACTGAACATAACACTGGTGGATAGTAATCTATAGACATATACAGAGGAGCGGGAGGAAGTGCAAATAGGCTTAATTCAAGCCTCAAATTTAAAAAATTAATTTGATTAGATTCTGAACATCTTTCACGTGCTATCAAGTATCCAGGGCTCCCATACAAACGAAAAATAAATTGCTTTTAATAATGTCCTTTCACACGAGTAGCACTGTGCCATCTTAGCACATCCAGAACAGGGAGGCATTCTGCAAGGGGTTGTAAACCCACAAAGGCAACAGGACATCTAATGCCATAGTGTCACCCCCACCGAAGGTGGTGCATCCCAGGCAAACGCCATTACAACCAATCACACAGGTATACAGAAACCGTATTTGACTGGAATTTGGTCCACAGAAAAGCCTTCGTTTATATCTAAACGTGCCTTGCTGGCATCCGCTGGCCCAGTGTTCATCCCATGACGAAAAGCCCAAAGACAAAGGAGCCCGCCCGGCGGGAGAGGAGTGGGTCTCTGGACGTCTCCGCGTGCTCCAAGATGCAGGGCTCGGGGACCCGGGAAGCCAGCCGCAGCCCCCTGGAGCAGATATCCCCGGGATCCCAAGCTCCGGAGCCGGGCCCCAAGAGGTTCCCTGACAATTTTGCATTCGTAATTTTTAAATCTTTTTCTTTAAAGTGCCAGCCCCATCTTCCCCCTTCCCCAAAAGGCTGAGCTTCAAGCCTCACAGATCCTAGCCACCCATCCCCACGACAAGCCGTCTCTCGAAGCAAGAAACGGCCTGCTAAGGACAAAGAACAGCTGCCTCAAGGCCCGGGCGGGATGGCAAGGGCCGGCAAGGCCGGACGCCTAAAAAGCTTGGAAGCCGGCGGCCAGGGTACAGGAGGGAGCCAAAAAGAGCTGGGGGCGTGGCCTGGAGCGGGAGGGGCGGGGCGGGGCAAAGACCTGGGCCTGGAGCGGGGGCCCGAGGGGGCGTGGCCGGCGCTAGGGCACCAAGCCTAAGCCTCCGCCTCCGCCGCCGCCGCCGCCTCCACCTAGTCCGCCACCTCCGCCAGACGCAAGCTGGGAGGAGAAGGGGAGTCGGAGGAGGAGGTGGCGGCGCAGGAGCGCTCCTCTCGGGGACCAGCCGACCCGGGGAGCGAGGACGTCGCCCCGCACCGCTTTCCTCCTGCCGCTGAGCCGTCCCTTTTCGCCATGTCCCAGAGCAGGCACCGCGCCGAGGCCCCGCCGCTGGAGGGCGAGGACAGTGGGACCTTCAGGTCGGCGCCCGGGCCGTCGGGGCCGCAGGGCGGGGAGTGGTGGGCAGCAGAGGCGGGGGCGGAGGAGCTGGTTCACCAGCAGCATTCTGGGTAAAGCCCCCTCCCAGCGCCCCCGCGGCTGCTGGCGGTCCGCCGGCTCTAGGCTGCGCTGGACTCGGATCTGTAACCGGGCCCCGCCCCTCTTGTGGCCCGGGGATGCGCGCGGGGTGGGCAAGGGTGGCGCGCGGTCTCTGCGCCAGAAAGAGAGATGGTCGGCTTGCTCCTGAGGGGATGCAGCGCCGGTGTCCACCCTGTTCCCCTGAGTCCTCCTACCCGCCTTCAAGTTCTCTGTCTCTACCTCCCTCATCCTATGAGTCTCTGAGAGGGGATTGCCGCAGCGGGGCCGGGAGACAGGTGCGCCCCGGCCTTGCCAGCTCTGCCCTGGCTGCCAGGGAGCTGTGGCGCCTCTCCCGTTACCACTGGTGGCGATCAAAACTGGCCTCTGTGTTCTGCTTTCTGCTGGGATTTGGCATGCAAAGCACACCTTTTCTGGTTTTTGTAGTTTGGGGAAGATGATAACAGCCAAGCCAGGGAAAACACCGATTCAGGTATTACACGAATACGGCATGAAGACCAAGAACATCCCGGTTTATGAATGTGAACGATCTGATGTGCAAATACATGTACCCACTTTCACCTTCAGAGTAACCGTTGGCGACATAACCTGCACAGGTCTGTATGCACAGTTAACTCCAAAGGCCATACGGGTTGGCAGTCAAGACTTGGTGTTGCCTTTCATTTCGGAAAAGTGCTCTTTTTGCCAGAGACAGTTACCAGGCTCTGAAATTGAGGCCGCTCATCTCAGGTCATTAGGACTTTCCATGTTCGTCAGACTCCCTAATTTTTTCTTCCCCAGATACGAAGGAAGCACAGAAACTAAAAAGTTATCTAGGCATTCTGCAAGGCTTCTCTTCTACCCTAGGATCCTCTTAGAATTCTAAGAATCAGAAGCAGGAAAGGTTCTTGGAGTGGTCATAGCTGGGTCGGTAGATACTGTCAAGTTTCATAGATTATAGTAGATGCAAGGGACAGAACCCCAGAATTTTCTGACTTTCTCCCCTTTCTGTGTGGACTCATTTGGCTTTTTAGGTCTATTGAAGTCTTAATTATATATCAAAGCAAAATGAGGAAGGGCAGAAGGGTTTCATATACTACACTGCATAGCAGTTTCTATTTTCTAAAACAGAAGAGTATTTTGTGTAAGATAGTATCCCCTTTTTATACTTAAAAAAAATAGCCCAGTGCAGTAGCTCACGCCTGTAATCCTAGCACTCTGGGAAGCCAAGGTGGGTGGATTGCTGGAGGTCAGGAGTTCAAAAATAGCCTGCCCAAGAATTAGATCCTATCTCTTTTAAAAGTCAAACTAGCTGGCATTGTGATGGGCACCTGTAGTTCCAGCTACCGGGGAGGCTGAGACAAGAGGATCACTTGAGCCCAGGAGTTGGAGATTTCTGTGAGCTATGACACCATGGCACTCTTATCAAGGGCAAAATAGTGAGACTCTGCCTCAAAAAAAAAAAAAAGGTTCAGAGACATAATAAGTAAGATGCCCAAGGTCACACAGCAGTGACATTTCAGAGTTGAGACATTGTAAGCTAGATCAATAGATAACTGAAGTTGCTCACTTGTAAATGTAGGAATTGTTCTCTAATGTATCTAATTGCAAACAAAAAAATATTGAATGCTAATTTTAATTTGGAAGACTACCAAGAAAAAATAGTAGGAAGGCTAAAGTTTCCTGTCTGGTAATCTGAAGGCATCATTTCTTTATGTCACATATAAGGCAGGTGAATTATAGTTGCTGGCTGGAAGGGTCCTCATGTGAACCATAGGGTTAATATTACATTACTACTTTGGTCTACTTTTAAATATTCAGGGAGAATTCAAGGAAAAGCAGCCTTTTCCCTCCTCAGTGTGTTTTACACCAGGGATTAACAACTTACGGCAACCATTCTGCCTCTGCCCTCTTCTCACACACATCAGTTTTCCCATGCAAGTTTATCAGCTGTCTTGGCTTCAAGTATTAATACTGTCTGAAGGTTAGTAATTCTGAAATATTTGTCTTCAACCCAGGCCCAGCTACAGAAAGCAGAGCAGCCTGTGCTCGCTAGGCATCTTTGCTTGGGTGATGCAAAGGCACGTCTATCTCTCCAGGTCCAACCAAATCCATCTTTTCTCTTCAATACATTACCCCTCTTTGCAAAGGCACCACAATTACCCAGTTGCTCAGTAGAAACTTGGGGTTTTGTCTTCTTGATGCTTTTCCTGTCCCCATCCCTCTCGTCCAGTCTCTCATTAAACCCCATCTCCTAAGTATCTGTTGTGTCTGTACGCTGCTTTCTTCTTGCTGCTGTCCAGGCCACTGTCATATCTCAATAGATTGCAGTTGCAGTCTGATAGTTGCTCTTTCATCTTCTAAGTCTTGTCATATCCTTTTGCCATATGACAACCAGATTGTTCTTTCTAGCATTCAGATTTGTCTTCCTCTCTTAAACTACATTCATTCGTAGAAACACAAATGTCTTAAAGTGACTTATGAGTTTGCTTCTTAAAGTATAGTCTTTAGCAGCATTGATACCACCTGGGTGCTGGATGGAAGTGCGAAATAGGAGGCCCATCTCAGATGTGTGTTTCAGCAATTCCCCATCAGTTCCTATTCATATTAGGCAATTCCTCTGCACATTAGTTGGAAAAGCACAAATTCACAGTACCCTTCCTTGATGTCTTTCCCCACCAGCCACCTTTCTAGACTTTTATTTCACAAGTCCTTCCTTCAGACCAGACTTAGTGCCTCCTGACTATAATCCTAGCACTCTGGGAGGCTGAGCCAGTGGATTGCTTGAACTCAAAAGTTAGAGACCAGCCTGAGCAAGAGCAAGACCCCTTCTCCACTAAAAATAGAAGAAGTACCAGGCAGGCACCTGTAGTCCCAGCTACTTGGGAGGCTGAGGCAAGAGGATCACTTGAGCCCAGGTGTTTGAGGTTGCTGTGAGCATGATGCCAGGCTACTCTAGCCAGGGGCAGCAGAGTAAGACTGTCTCCAAAAAAAAAAAAATTCTTCCTTCAAGTTCTTGAGAACACACAGTACTCTGTTGCTTTGGAACCTTCACGGGTGTTTGTTTTCTCAGCCTATAATGTTCTTTCTAATCCTCCATCTCTCTTCAGTTTATTAGCTTTTACTCATCATTCAGGTCTCCATTTAGATTTCTTCTCTGTGAAACCTTTCTGGATCCATAGGAGGGCTAGGGGAGCTGCTGCTTTTGTGCACTCCCCAACAGTCTGCACTCGAGCTTGCTGGAACACGTTACTCCATGTTTCAGACGCCTTGTAACAGATGAAATCCCACACTGGGCTGTCAGCTCTTGAGGGCCAGGACTTTGTTTAGTTCTTTGTTCTATCCCTAATATCTGTTAGTAGATAAATGAGTGGTTATGTGTCTTCTGACACTTGAGAGTCAGGGTTGAAACTTATTCCGTGAGAGTTTAAGAGTTAGAACTTAAAAGAAAGAAGACTGAATGCATCATTTATGAAGTATGAGTGCTTACTGAAGTTTAGACTCGTATTATCCACAGACCCTCTGCCCTATTCATGCAAGGGATACAGATTGTATAGGAGACACCTAATAAGGATCCCATATATAAATTCTTTCCCCACCATGCCCAGCATGTAGTCACGACTGCTTTCTCAAGCAGTTCTGCTGTAAGTGGTACTTTAAAAGAAACTTTTTTTTTGAGACAGAGTCCCATTATGTCGCCCTCAGTAGAGTGCTGTGGCGTCACAGTTCACAGCAATCTCAAACTCTTGGACTTAAGCAATTCTCTTGCCTCAGCCTCCCAAGTAGCTGGGATTACAGGCGCCCGCCACAACGCCTGGCTATTTTTTGTTGTAGTTGTCATTGTTTAATTGGCGTGGGCCAGATTCGAACCCACCAGCCTGGGTGTATGTGGCTGGTGCCGTAACTACTGTGTATGGGCACTGAGCCTAAAAGAAACTTCTTGCTATAGTAGAATTTCCCTTCTCTCCAGGAATATGAGAAGAGTAACTAAGTTACATTTTTTTCAGAAGGTGTGACATGTCTACGTTATGTAATAAATGTATATAATATAAAAAATAAATATTCTTATACAGGTATGCGTAGATTATTAACTACATAGAATGTTTTACATTTTTTTAATATATTAACTTCATGGGATGACTATTTTATTACAGGGTATAACTGCATATAGTATATGGTCTTACTGCCTGGTATGTTTATGTAAAATCCGTAGTGACTTTGTTTTGTATTATGAGAATTTTATGCAAGCCACTCATTTTCCACAGGAGATAAGACTTCTTTTTTGTAAACCTTAATTCAGGTGAAGGTACGAGTAAGAAGCTGGCGAAACACAGAGCTGCAGAGGCTGCCATAAACATTTTGAAAGCTAATGCAAGTATTTGGTGAGCTAAATTTCTTTGTATTCTGCAGCTCAAAAATATCATGGCTGAGGTAAGATTAAACATTCAACATGCTCCCAAAAGCAACAGAGTGAACAGTTGTTAGTATCTTAACTCTGAAATGTTTCCTTGTGAAAACCTGTCATTCATTGAAGATAACTATCTGGTCAGATCTAGCAATTAACTATTAAATGAAAACTGTCATAAAGTTGGCTTTATTTTCTATTTTTCAGATGGGTACAATAGCAGAAATAATCAGAGTGTTTCTGGCAAATGTTAATATCTGTATTCTAAACGGAGACTTTTGATTATTTCTGCACTGAAGAAAACAATGTAGGAGATGAAAAAAGATCAGCTAACAGTACTCTTTTAGGAATTCTAATTTGGAAGAAAGAGGCAGAGATTTTCTTTTATTATAGAATGTATATCAAATAGAGAATGTCAAGTGGGATTTCTTTTTTGTTTTTAATGACCCAATCTATTGCTAGGAACATTCTTCTATTTTTTTCTTTTTTTTCTTGTGTTTTATCTAAGCAGTATTCCCAGGTGTGGATAGGCATATTCATTCTTGACATATCTTTCCAAATTAAATTTTGTTAACACTTCAGATGCTTTTGGAAAGAAGGTTGGTCCCAGAGCATCTCATGTATCATAAAGTGGTGTCCTTTGGCTTCCATTGGGCTCTCTGGGACATGGCATGCTTTCACATTCTGTTACGTGCACTCAAATATGCTTGCAGTACAATGTGATATAATCTGCTCATGGCTGACAGCAGAGGCACTTGGGAATTTAGGGTGAATGATTGTTCCCTAGCCAGAGGAAGACTTTTGGGTTAGGGGTATATTTAGGTTCCTGTCTTTTTCTAAGTCATTCTAACCCTTTTGAGTAGTTCAGAACTAACCATTGATGTGACACCCCTCTAGGTAAGCACTTGCCCAAGACAGGCCTTGGATTTCACAAGATAGTGCCTGATTCTTTACTGTCACGCATTTCAGTTGATTCACACCAGCTTTCAGGATGTGCCCCATGGCGTGGCAGGTATTGAGTTTTCCCCCCACTGGTGATGGCCTTGCTGTTTCTGTGCGACCTAAGATCAACCTAAAGTGTTGAGTACATTTGTAGAAATGAACATAACGAGGTATCCTTTCTGCACATGGGCACTTCACTTTGTCAGCAAAGAAAGGCTAACAAACTTTACTATATATTTGTGCTTCTTGACAGATAATATGGGAATTACTAAGCTGTAATCAGGCCTAAATTGGCCTGATTTAGTACAGAGACTTTCTCACTTCTTCATCACAATTATTTGTGTAGCTTCGGCATGCAACATTGTAAGTGAATACTTGTATGTCATCGGCCTACGTAAAGCTCAAAGTTCTTGCAGTTGGAAAAGAATTGCCACTTGAGGAAGTGGCAATAGTTAAACCTCATTTGTTATGGAAGAAATAACTCCAGTTGCCTAGGGGGTAGTAACCCCAGAACACAATTTATTCAGTATTAGGCACTGATCTCCCAAGTAACTAGTAATTTTTTTTATTTTTATTCTTTTTATTTTTTGCACTTTTTGGCCGGGGCTGGGTTTGAACCCACCACCTCGGGCACATGGGGCTGGCACCCTACTCCTTGGAGCCACAGGCGCCGCCCAGTAACTAGTAATTTTAAACTACCTAGAAGACATTGTTCTCTTTTTCTCTAATCATAATACCTACATCCTAAAGTCACATTCATGTAGCCCACCTATTTCATGCAGGATACATAGGAATCTTAGAAGATTAGCCTAGCACTGAGGAGATAATAAATCAAAACAGATTTCTCTTCCATAGATCTCTGGATGAAAAACAACATTTGTGACCCATGTTATCCACCTTGCCAGCCAGGCTGAATTTTCCCAGCAATTGTTAGTCATTCAATTTTGTGTAGTTGTAAGATATAGTACTCTTTAAATATATTTTTATTAAGTGCCTATTATGTACAAAACACTACAAAGTTTTTGTACATAAGTCATACATAGGTCCTACCATCAAAGAGCTTATAGTCCAGACAGGAGAAATGAGGTGAGGGTTGTACAAATAACATGTATTTGTAAGAGTGTATAATTTATGGTACCATAATTTCCTTAAGAAAATATTAAACCAAATGTTGTAGTGGTTTAAAGGAGGGAGTGATTATGATTCATTAAGGTAAAGGGATAGACTTCTTAGAGGAAATAGCTTTTGAGATGTACCTTGGACAATGGATAGATCAGAATCCCATGGAAGAGATTGGAGGGAAGGGCATTTCATGGAGAAGGATGTCAAGAGCAAAGGCATAGAGAGTTAAACTGGAAATGTTTAGCACTCACTTAGTAATTTGGATGAAGTTTCTTTAATAACATTTTAAAACAATGTTTAGCTTTGCAGTTCCTGATCCCTTAATGCCAGACCCTTCCAAGCAACCAAAGAATCAGCTTAATCCTATTGGTTCATTACAGGTAAGTTGTGCAGTTTTTTCATTCTTAATATTTTGTCTACTGATAAAAGGTACAGTATATCTGATGATATCATAGGGGCTAAGATAAGGAATTAATATTTTGAAAACAAAAGTATTTTATTTCTTAACTGATACTCATTAGATATTACAGAGCTAACTTGAAATTATTTTCCTATTTCTTTATGTTTCGGATTTTCTTCTGTATATAGTACTGCCTGTGTTTTTGGCTTTTTTTTTTTTTTTTAGATAAAGTTTTACTATGTCACCCTTGGTAGAGTACTGTGGCATCACAGCCCACAGAAACCTCAAACTCTTGGACTTAAGCGATTCTCTTGCCTCAGCCTCCCAAGAAGTTGGGATTATAGACACCTGCCACAATACTCGGCTAGGCCATGTTTTGTTTTGTTTTTTTTTGAGACAGAGCCTCACTATATTCTCCAGTAGAAAGCTATGGCATCGTAACTCATAGCAACCTCAAACTCCTGGGCTCAAGACATCCTCTTGAGTAACAAAATGAGACTCTGTCTCAATAAAAAAGAATAAAAGAGATCCTCTTGCCTCAGCTTCCTGAGTAGCTGGGTCTACAGGCACCTGCCACAATACCCAGCTACTTTTTCTATTTTTAGTGCAGACAGGGTCTCACTTTTGCTCAGGCTATCTCATACTCCTGAGCTCAACCACTACTGCTGCCTCAGCCTCACAGAGGGGTAGGATTAACAGGCATACAGTGTATGCCTTTGTTTTATGGAATTGCCATGTGAGATCAACGCGCCCTCAGTGCATAGGAGTGTGTGTGTATATATGTATTTTTTTTATTGAGACAGAGTCTCACTTTTTCACCCTTGGTAGGGTGCTATGATATTATAGTTCACAGCAAACGAAAACTCTTGGGCTTATGCAATTCTTTTGCCTCAGCCTCCCATGTAGCTGTGACTGTAGGCACCCTTCACAACACTGAGCTATTTTTAGACACGGGGTCAAGTCAGCTCTAGCTCAGGCTGATGTTGAACTCGCCTTGGCCTCCCAGAGTGCTAGGATTACAAGTGTGAGCTACCTCGCCTGGCTTGGGTAGAGTATTTTATACTTAAAGAGTATTTCTTGCTACTTTTATGACAAACCTCTTTCTACTTCTGCTGAGACAGAAGACATTATAAAGAGCCCCAAATCAGGCTTGGCACCTGTGGCTCAAGTGGCTAAGGTGCCAGCCACATACACCTAAGGTGGCAGGTTCGGATCCAGCCCAGGCCCGCCAAAACAGCAATGATGGCTACAACCAAAAAAAATAGCTGGGCATTGTGGCAGGCGCCTGTAGTCCCAGCTACTTGGGAGGCTGAGGCAGGAGACTCGCTTGAGCCCAGGAGTTGGAGGTTGCTGTGAACTGTGATGCCACAGCACTCTACCCAGGGGGATAGCTTGAGGCTCTGTCTCCAAAAAAAAAAAAAAAAGAGCCTCAAAGCAGGTAACCTAATTCAAGGAAAGGGAAGTAGTCTGCTTATCACAAAGTGTTTATATTCATCTTGAATTTCTGCTTGCAGAATATTTTTCTTGCAGATTATCCATGTGCTGTGTTAAGCCACTCCCCTCCCTGTTATTCAGCCAGTCCTTTGATCTCTTTTTCCTGCCATATAAGTTTTCCTATAGTTTTCTTCACCTTCTTTCCCTGCCCCCCATCCCTGATTTTTGGTATTGCTGCTCATCATTCTTCTCTTGACTAGCCCTCTGTGGGTTTGGAAGTCTATAGCTAGGAGGGGCGAGGCTTTAGGCAGTTAGACCTGCCTGAAGGTGTCGCCTGTGTTTGCAAAGAGGGTGGTAATCACCTGTCTTTCTAGTTGAACTGTTAACTCACTGTAGCTTAGTGGAAGAACCCATTAATAGCTCAAAATTGCTTCAGTTTTGGTGTTATGATATAAAAATATAAAATGCCAGAATATCTAGAGTATCTGGAATAGCTAGAAAAACTGCAAGGTCTTTCCTCATTTTTCCATTGCAAAATACGATTATTCTTCTCAAACATATAAGTTGAAATAGGATCAAGATCAAGAATATCATGTATGTAATTGCACCATTGCATAGTTAAAATTACTATCTCAATTTTACAGGAATTGGCTATTCATCATGGCTGGCGACTTCCTGAATATACCCTTTCCCAGGAGGGAGGACCTGCTCATAAGAGAGAATATACCACAATTTGCAGGCTAGAGTCATTTATGGAAACTGGTACTTCTTATAATTAAGGATATTTGAAATATTCTCAGATGATGAATAATCATATAAATTTATTTTGTAAATATCTTTTCAAATATTTCTGTACGGGAAAACATTGATATGCTCTTATTCTATTGTCTTTAACTTTCTGAAGTAGAACTTAAGTATAGAGATTAGCTTAAATTACTTATATTTTTTAATTTGATATTTTAAAAAATTACAGATTGTTAGTGAAAAGACAAGGGTTCTTTAAATCATCTTTGTTGATATATTAGTGACTTAACTGATGTTGGAGAAAAAGCAATAGTAAATCTCTTAAGAGTTTTGCAGCTTATTCTAGAAGGTAAAAAGCCTAGAGGAAGACTACATTTGAAAATGAGATGATTAGGGCGGCACCTGTGGCTCAAAAGGGTAGGGCGCTGGCCCCATATGCCAAAGGTGGAGGGTTCAAATTCAGCCCTGGCCCCCTCCCCAAAAAAGAGAATGAGATGATTAATAAAAGACTAGATGGCAAGTTTCAGTGGTTAGGGTGGCAGCCACATGCACTGGGGCTGGTGGGTTCAAACTTGGCCAGGACCTGCTAAACAACAACTACAGTAACAAAGGAAAACAGCTGGGTGTTCTGGCAGGTGCCTATAGTCCTGGCTACTGGGAGGCTGAGGTAAGAGAATCACTTAAGCCCAAGAATTAGAGGTTGCTGTGAGCTGTGATGCTACAGAACTCTACCAAGGGCAACACAGTGAGACTCTGTCTCAAAAAAAAAAAAAAGATTAGATGGCAAAAGTAAAATGCAGTGAGATAAAAATAAAGCAGAAATTATCTTTTTTATTATAGCCACTTGTATGTTATAAAGGATATAAACTGTGAGAAAAAGCTGGCACATGAAGTACTATTGAGAATTTCTATGTTAATTCAGGCATGTTTTCGTCATTCTTTTTTTCTTGTTGCAGTTTGGCTGGGGCTGGGTTTGAACCTGCCATCGTCTGTATATGCAGCCGGCGCCTTATGAGCCGCAGGTGCCGCCCAGTTTTTGTCATTCTTAAAAGTGGCTTCAAGCAGGATTTCACCCACTTGTTTCAAGTAATAAGCAACTGTGTTTTGCCTTGAGAGTTAGTATGGGCCAGTAGAAAAAGTGCTGGACCAAGGGCAAGAACCTCAGCTTCCATTCTTGATATAGTCCTTGATTTGTAAAGTTAAGCAAATTACTTAATCTCCCTGGGCCTCAGTTTTTTGTTTGTTTGTTTGTTTGTTTTGAGACAGAGCCTCAAGCTGAGCCCCTGGGTAGAGTGCCATGGCTTCACTGCTCACAGCAACCTCCAACTCCTGGGCTCAAGCGAGTCTCCTGCCTCAGCCTCCCAAGTAGCT